AATGAATTACAGATTTCAAACTTACATCTGGTTAGTCGTTCGGGCCTTCGTCTCATTTGGCCTCTTTCCTCGAAGGGTTCAAATAAATACTGAAATAAAAGCAAACACAGAGAGCTCATTATGCAAAGATTGGAATTTAAATATTAAAATACTGCTGCTGCTTTCAGAAAGATCAAGACGAGGGAGTTTTTACACGTATGAAAGCGGTATTCTGTTGCGTGTTATTTATTTAAGAGCAGACAGGAAACAGGAAAATAGCTTTTTCCTCAATGATTGTAAAACTGTATAATTTTGTTGTTGTCTCTTGTTTTTGAACTGACTTCTCATCATATACTTTCACCAATGAAAAATCTGATGATGGTTTGGATCATTTATATGCAGAAATATTGAAATGATGGAAATATGTATATTTTTATTGTGAGCTTGTTCTTTACCTGAGTGTTTTATCATAATGTTACTTTACAATTTTCTTACTTTTGCATGTAAACACTGAAACACTGCTGATAAAATAAGACCAGAATCTGTGGATAATTTGCTTTTTATTACTTGTTTTTCATTTAAAATGACTTTTGCAATTATTGGATGTCGTCACTTACAGTCTAATGTCTCTGAACTTTCCCACACACGTTGGAGAATATGACTGTTTTTCAATAACTATCATTAAGAGATTATCTTAATTTTCATATGAACACATTTTTAACTGTACATGTAAAGTTGTAAATCCTCCCAGTGTGGACCATATGTAAAATTTTAATGCAAATTTCTCTGAAATGATTACGAGATAAACATGTGAGCAAATGAGCCAAACGCTCAGAAAACTTCCCACGAACTCTAGTCGTCTGCAAAAAAACCTCAAATATATATATTTTTTGAAAAGTGATCACAAGCATGTTCTTATTGTGATAATTGTTTTCATTAAATGAATGAATTAAGGATAAAAACCATTAGAGGTTCATAATAAACTGACAATAAATGTAATGTGTGGGAATATGAGACAGTGAAAGGATAAAAGAGAACGTATTTTTAGTGTTTTTGCTTTATATTCAGAAAAACAGACTAAAATATCTAAAAAAATGGCAGAAATACAGAAATACAGACTGCCCATTTGTAGTGCAATCCTCAGGTAAACATCCTGAGGATCAAGGTGCAGTATATGAAAGAGAAAAGATACAGTGTAACTTGTTACGACATGTTGTGAAGTGAATTGGATTTTAAACCATGTGCTCACATAAGCACAGGAGCTGTATGCTGTGCATGCTGCTCTCTCAGACTGTCGCTGAAGGAAATACAGTGCTGTTAAAAAGTGTTTTCTCCTTTCCTGATTTCTTAGTTTTGTGCATATTTGTTACATGTTTCAGATCATCAACCAAATGTTAATATTAGACAAAGAAAACCTGATTTTTTTAAATTATGGTTTCATCTATAAAGGGAGGAGGTTATCTAACAGTGTCCTACAGTGTTTTTTAGCATCAAGGGTGTCATAAAGTTTGTTGTTTCTCTTATTTAATGTAACTCCACTGCTATCAGCACTTTGTCAGTCATTTTATTTTTAAAAATAGTCTCTTTCTGTTTGCGGTTAAAATCAAACAAACAGTAAGAGCCCTGTGAGTGTTGAGCTGTGCAGACAGCAGAGGGAGTCAAAGCCAAGTGAAAAACTTATCAGGGCTCAGAAAAGGCTTCAGGTGGGTTTCTTATTTTACTCACCCACCAGCTCTGCCAGTAAAGGCCTTAAAATCCTGTTTTTGGCAACAGTGTTATTCCTGAGCAATCTTTTCTTGTTTGAATACATCAGTCTGGCTCTGCTTTTCCTCCCATGACAAGTAAAAGCATTAAAAACATTGCTCTGAAGCCCTGAATGTAGCCAAGCAGTTATAGAAGTTATTTAGCTATTATTTAAATTGAATGATATTATCTCTTTGAGAAACATTCCTTTGTTCTTTACCCAACTTATATGAACATTATGTTTTATTTCAGGGGTGTGACGTAACTTTTCAGCAAGGAAAAAACTCTTCCTGCACTCTTTAACGAGACAAACTGGACCGCATGAAAACACAGTGTACTGACGAACTCCTTCCAGGGTTAA